AATGATGACAAAGACTCTTGTAAGCGAGAAGTATGTGGATGACATCTTGTTTCTGTTGAAGGTCAAGTTGCTGTAATGTTTGAGCTGACCTTTGTGTAAGCAATATGCACTTCCCCCAAAAAGATGTTGTAAAGGGTATAAAAGGGCAGTGCAAAAATAAACTTCAGACTTAGCCCCGAGCTTTGTCTGTGTTTTCTCTCGCTGACGCCGTTCATCCTGGGGGTACCCCTGGATCCTGCTGGGGCTGGACCCCGGCACATCCCTCTATTTTTGAATCTTTGCAATTATTTTAGCAGGCCAGAAATTTTTATCTGCTCACTGCCAATGTCACAGTGCATGTGGGTAAACTTTTCCCAGAGACTTCAACAGTCAGGTGAGACTTTCCTGCTGGCAGGGGATTGAAAAAAACAAAACAAAACAAAAATCAGGAAATGCTTTGAAATAGAAAAAGAAGTCGGTATCATAGGCTAAGCTGGTAAAGAATCCACCTGCAATGCAGGAGACCTGGGTTCAATCCCTGGGTTGGGAAGATCCCCTGGAGAAGGGAAAGGCTACCCACTCTAGTATTCTGGCCTGGAGAATTCCATGGATTGTATAGACCATGGGGTTGCAAAGAGTTGGACATGACTAAATGACTTTCACACACACACATCATAAAATGTATCTGTCAGGATTCTAGCAGAAAACAGATGACCTAGTATAATGAAGTACTTGGAGGAGACTCTAGTGAAGGGGCTGCCTACAAGCTGTGGCTACAAGTTTAAGAAATGACAAGGGGGAGGACTAGTAACAGTGAGGAAATAACATCCATACCCTAAGAGGTGAACAAAGCTGGAATGCAGAAGGAGAGTTGGGTAGTAAGGCCTCCAGGGGAGGAGCTATGATCTTTGGCAACTAGTCAGAGATGACCTGCAGGTAGGGAGAATGGAGAACAGATACCCTGACCTTGCTTTTCTGCCCTCAAGAGATCTCCTGCTCAGATTCCCTTTGGCAGAAACCAAGCAGAGGTCAGAGAGCAAGAGATCCCATTGATGCTGTCCATGTAGATCAGCCTCCCACGCAAGAAGTTAGAGTGAAGAAGGGTGAAGTGTGGATGTGCAGAGGAAAATGAAAAATATTTGGCACAGAAGAGATTTTTTAAGTTACAGTTAGGAACACTTCAAGTTAGGATGGTACCTTAAAAAAGGAGAGAGAAAGACACAAAGAGAATTTACTTCCACATCTCTGCCAACCACAGAATAATGGTGACAGAGAAGCCCATGCTGCATTGGCATGGTTTTTGTAACAAAGTTCTTATAGGTGTGGATAGAAATAACACACCAGTGGGGCCTACACTTAATGTATGCAGGGTTTCTTATTTGAATTTTCCTAAATTGAATCTTTGAACTCTACAAAGCAAATCATTACCTGGTTATACCAATTTCATAAACCCTTTTTTTTTCATTTATTTTTATTAGTTGGAGGCTAATTACTTTACAATATTGTAGTGGTTTTTGCCATACATTGACATGAATCAGCCATGGATTTACATGTGTTCCCCATCCCGACCCCCCCTCATGCCTCCCTCCCCATCCCATCCCTCTGGGTCTTCCCAGTGCACCAGCCCTGAGCACTTGTCTAATGCATCCAACCTGGGCTAGTGATCTGTTTCACCCTTGATAGTATACTTGTTTCAATGCTATTCTCTCAGAACATCCCACCCTCACCTTCTCCCATAGAGTCCAAAAGTCTGTTCTGTACATGTGTGTCTGTTTTTATGTTTGCATGTAGGGTTATCGTTGCCATCTTTTTAAATTCCATATATGTGTTAGTATACTGTATTGTTGTTTATCTTTCTGGCTTACTTCACTCTGTAATAGGGTCCAGTTTCATCCATCTCTTTAGAACTGATTCAAATGAATTCTTTTTATTTATTTATTTTTTACAGGTGTTCAGTTTTATTTTTTTTTCATTTATTTTTATTAGTTGGAGGCTAATTACTTTACAATATTGTAGTGGTTTTTGTCATACATTGACATGAATTAGCCATGGATTTACATGTATTCCCCATCCGGATCCCCCCTCCCACCTCCCTCTCCACCCGATCCCTCTGAGTCTTCCCAGTGCACCAGGTCCTAGCACTTGTCTCATGCATCCAACCTGGGCTGGTGATCTGTTTCACCCTAGATAATATACATGTTTTGATGCTGTTCTCTTGAAACATCCCACCCTCGCCTTCTCCCACAGAGTCCAAAAGTCTGTTCTATACATCTGTGTCTCTTTTTCTGTTTTGCATATAGGGTTATCATTACCATCTTTATAAATTCCATATATATGTGTTAGTATACTGTATTGGTCTTTATCTTTCTGGCTTACTTCACTCTGTATAATAGGCTCCAGTTTCATCCATCTCATTAGGACTGATTCAAATGAATTCTTTTTCATGGCTGAGTAATATTCCATGGTGTATATATACCACAGCTTCCTTATCCATTCGTCTGCTGATGGGCATCTAGGTTGCTTCCATGTCCTGGCTATTATAAACAGTGCTGCGATGAACATTGGGGTGCATGTGTCTCTTTCAGATCTGGTTTCCTTGGTGTGTATGCCCAGAAGTGGGATTGCTGGGTCATATGGCAGTTCTAGTTCCAGTTTTTTAAGAAATCTCCACACTGTTCTCCATATCGGCTGTACTAGTTTGCATTCCCACCAACAGTGTAAGAGGGTTCCCTTTTCTCCACACCCTCTCCAGCATTTATTGCTTCTAGACTTTTGGATAGCAGCCATCCTGACTGGCGTGAAATGGTACCTCATTGTGGTATTGATTTGCATTTCTCTGATAATGAGTGATGTTGAGCATCTTTTCATGTGTTTGTTAGCCATCTGTATGTCTTCCTTGGAGAAATGTCTGTTTAGTTCTTTGGCCCATTTTTTGATTGGGTTATTTATTTTTCTGGAATTGAGCTGCAGGAGTTGCTTGTATACTTTTGAGATTAATCCTTTGTCTGTTGCTTTGTTTGCTATTATTTTCTTCCATTCTGAAGGCTGTCTTTTCACCTTGCTTGAAAAAGTTTTTAAGTTTAATTAGGTCCCATTTGTTTATTTTTGCTTTTATTTCTAATATTCTGGGAGGTGGGTCATAGAGGATCCTGCTGTGATTTATGTCGGAGAGTGTTTTGCCTATGTTCTCCTCTAGGAGTTTTATAGTTTCTGGTTTTATATTTAGATCTTTAATCCGTTTTGAGTTTATTTTTGTGTATGGTGTTAGAAAGTGTTCTAGTTTCTTTCTTCTACAAGTGGTTGACCAGTTTTCCCAGCACCACTTGTTAAAGAGGTTGTCTTTTTTCCATTGTATGTCCTTGCCTCCTTTGTCGAAGATAAGCTGTCCATAGGTATGTGGATTTATCTCTGGGCTTTCTATTTTGTTCCACTGTTCTATATTTCTGTCTTTGTGCCAGTACCATACTGTCTTGATGACTGTGGCTTTGTAGTAGAGTCTGAAGTCAGGCAGGTTGATTCCTCCTGTTCCATTCTTCTTTCTCAAGATTGCTTTGGCTATTCGAGGTTTTTTTGTATTTCCATACAAATTGTGAAATTATTTGTTCTAGTTCTGTGAAAAATACCATTGGTAACTTGATAGGGATTGCATTGAATCTATAGTTTGTTTTGGGTAGTATAGTCATTTTCACAATATTGATTCTTCCAATCCATGAACACAGTATATTTCTCCATCTATTTGTGTCCTCTTTGATTTCTTCATCAGTATTTTATAGTTTTCTATATATAGGTCTTTCCTTTCTTTAGGTAGATATACTCCTAAGTATTTTATTCTTTTTGTTGCAATGGTGAATGGTATTGTTTCCTTAATTTCTCTTTCTGTTTTCTCATTGTTAGTGTATAGGAATGCAAGGGATTTCTGCGTGTTAATTCCATAAACTCTTAAATCCATTGGCATTGTGTGTGAGGACAGGTGGGAGCCAGGAGTGCTGGGCAATGAGCTTCAGAGACATTTAAATGTGGTTGATGCTCACTCCTTAATAGACTATCCCCAAATTTAGTGGCTTAAAACAACAGCAATCATTTATTTTTCTTATGAATTTGCAATTTGGGTATGACCCCATGGGGATGGCTCATCTTTGCTCTTTGCAGTTTCATCAGTTGGCAGCTAGAGAATTCACTCTGTGTTGCCTCACTTGCATGGCCAGCAAATGGTTCTGGCTGGTGGATGAAGTATCAGCCAGGGACTGGGCCAGTGACTTCAGATCCTCTTCACGGGGGTGACTTGGCTTCTACTTGAGCTTCCTCACAACATGGTGGGCAAATTCCAAGGGTAACCACCACAGGAGAGCAAGGAGGCATTTTTCCCTATCTAACCTTAGAAGTCACATTGTGTTGCTTCAGCCACCCACTATTTCTCAAAGCAGTCACAAAGTCTATTCAATTTCAAGATAGGGAACATAGACCCATAACTCAATGAGTAAAGTTAGAGTAAGGTTAGACTGTAAGAAGAAATCAGAAATAAGATATGGTTTTAATCATCTTAGGAAAATACAAAGCACCATATTAACAAGAAAGAGATTCCCTGGTGGCTCAGATGGTAAAGAGTCTGCCTGCAATGTTGGAGACCTGAGTTCCATCCCTGGGTTGGGAAGATCCCCTGGAAAAGGGCAACCCACTCCAGTATTTCTGCCTCGAAAATCCCATGGATGGAGGAGCCTGGCAGGCTACAATTCATAGAGTTGAAAAGAGATGGACACGACTGAGCGACTTCACTTTTACTTTCATATTAACAAGCTATAGTAAACTGAGAAGTAAAAATAAAATTACGGTACATTACTTCCACAAAATTTGCCATATTTTTGAAAGCATGTTTTTAATCGAAACATGTCAAAAACGGCTTGCAATATACTCTTCTCAGCTTCTTCCCTTGCATTTTTCATTTGTTCATTATACTTGTCTGTTATCGATTTTATTGTTTTCATCTTTTCTTCTGGTGGTTTATGGGCACATTTCAATTCTACTTGTTCAATTTGCATGTTAAATGTATCAGTATAGCTTTTCATCAAGTCTTCCTCTTTCTGTCTCAGCTTTTGGTCTATGTCCTTGTAAATGGGGTCAAAAAAGTAAGCTCCTCGGTTGTTCTGCACCATCTTGTCTATCAGCTCCACCAGCTCCTGCACCTGAGCTTCCTTCTCAGCCTGCTCTGTCTTTTTGCTGTTACTGAAAGCACAGCAGCGGTCTCCACACTCCTGTAGGAGGCTTCGTAGGTTTCCATCCGAACTGTCCAGAAAATTGCTTAGGCTCTGGTCCTCCAGATCCTCTTTGCCAGTGAATAAGATGATCATATAGTTCATGGCTGCTTTCCCAAACAGAGTCTTGACCAACGCCACGGTTTTCTGCTCTTCCTCTGTGCAGCGGCCCAGCTTCAGGACCAAGATGATGGCGTGAGGCCCAGGACAGGAGGCGAGGACACATCGGCTGATTTCCTTGCAGGTTTTGTCCTGGGTCTCCTTGGTGTCAAAGAGCCCTGGGGTGTCAACAACGAGAAGCTCTCTCCCCTTCCATTCCCGGGATGCTTTCTGACATGTTTGGGTAACAGTGTGGGCTGCAATCTTAGACTCGAATACTTTGTCCCCGAGGATGGGGTTTGCAGTCGCACTTTTCCCACTTCCGGTCTTCCCGACCGGCACGATCCTCAGAGCGTTGTTAGGGTTGGCAGCCATGTTTACATCAGGAGGATCTGGGGTACCCAGACACCACCTTAAGAAAAGGAAGGAGAGGGGAAAGGGGTCAATTTAGGTAAGTAGTAACCATTCTCAAGTCTTTTTCTAACTTCCTTTGCCTCCCTGAAATTTGTAATATTCTATTATCCACATTGTTTGCAAAAGAAACAGAAAAATTAAACAGTTTAATTGCTGTTGAAAAAACGGCAAAGTAGTTCCATTATCCCCACGAAGTGTCAGGTCTGTTACCAAGCCCAAGCTGTTCTGCTCACCACACAACAAGCCAATAAATCCAGACACGAATTGTTGGAGCGAGGAATGATGACTTTAATCAGAAGGCCAGCAGACCAAGGAGGATGGCAGTTTAGCGTCTCCAAGAACCCTCTCATCTCAGTCGGGATTCAGGGTCCTTTTATATACAGTAGAGAGGGAGAAGGGACTTTCAGTGGCCTCACTAATGGTAGAAGGGGACCTGTTAACTGGTTGCTGGTTAACAGTTGCTCACGTGCTTGGGAGGAAGGGCCCTCTCAGATGCCTGACCAACGGCTGAGTAGGCCTGTTATAGCTGGTGTCTGTCTGAATGAAGTGTGCATGGGGAGCCAGGGAGGGAAAGCCCCTTATGACTTACTGTCATAGTTTCTATAATTAAAGCAGTATGATGTAGGTGCCTGAATAGAGAGAACAGCAAAGCAAAAACAGAAAATCTGGAAATAGACCAAATTAACCACGTTGTATTTATTCATATTCAATTCATTTACATTATGCAACATTTGTATTCAATAAGGTAACATCTCACATCAAGAGGAAGAAAGATAGACTAATAAGCCACATGGAGACAATCATATACAAAAAGATAAAACTACATCCATTTCCTGATGCCTTTCAAACTCCAAATAGGTTAGACTTTCCAATGTTGAAAAATCCACATAAATAATAGAAGAAACAATGGATAAATCGTTGTAACCTAGAGGTCAGGAAAATTTTTCTAAAATTTGAAATAGAGTAAGGTAAGAGACAGGCTTCCCTGGTGATTCAGTCAGTAAAGAATCTCCTGGAAATGCAGGATACCTGGGGGGAATATCCCTCAGAGAAGGAAATGGCAACCCACTTCAGTATTCTTGCCTGGGAAACCCAAGAGACAGAGGAGCCTGGTAGGCTACAGTCAATGAAGTCACAAAAGTCAGACACAACCTAGCTACTAAACTGCCACAAGGAAAGAGACACCTAAATTTGATTATATAAAAATCAGAAAGATGATGTGAGATAATAATGCTGCCAAACACAAATTAAAACACAGTTGTCAAACTAGAGGAAAATTTTTTCCTTCTTTTATAAAAGAGGGGTCATTTCACTTTTATACAAAGAATATCTGTACAGATGGCCAATAAGCACATGAAAAGGTGCTCAGTATCACTATTCAAGAAATGCAAATGAAAACTATAATGATGTATCACCTCACAGCGATGATTTGATGGCCATGATCAAAAAATCTACAATAAATGCTGGAGAGTGTGGGGAGAAAAGGGAACCCTCCTACACTGTTGGTGGGAACGTGAATTGGTAGAGCCTCTATGGAGAACAGTCTGGAAGATCCTCAAAAAACTGAAAATAGAGTTGCCATATTATCCACAATCCCACTCCCAGGCATATATCCAGACAAAATTCTAATTTGAAAACATGCATGCACCTCTATGTTCATAGCTGCTGCTGCTGCTGCTAAGTCACTTCAGTTGTGTCCGACTCTGTGTGACCCTATGGACAGCAGCCCACCAGGCTCCTCTGTCCACAGGATTCTCTAGGCAAGAATACTGGAGTGGGTTGCCATTTCCTTCTCCTCTATGTTCATAGCAGTTCTGTTATAATAGCCAAGACACGGAAACAAACTAAATGTCCATTGACAGATGAATGTATAAAGAAGACGCAGTTCATATATACAGTGGTATATTACTCAGCTGTAAAAGAGAATGAAATAATGTCATTTGCAACTACATGTATGAACTAAAGTGTTATCATATTGAGGGAAATTAGACAGAGAAAAACAAATATTATATGATATCATTTGTATGTGGAATCAAAAATAAATCAAATAAACTTACTTACAAAGCAGAAACAGACTAACTGACACAGAAAACAAACATGATTACCAAAGGGGAAAATCAGGAAAGAGGGATAAATTAGTTGTATGGGGTTTATGGATACATAGTAGCTGTTCAGTCCCTCAGTCCTGTCCGACTCTTTCTGGCCCCATGGGCTGCAGCATGCCAGGCTTCCCTGTCCTTCACCATCTCCCAGAGCTTGCTCAGACTCATATCCGTTGAGTCCGTGATGTCATTCAACTATCTCGACCTCTGTTGTTCCCTTCTCCTCCTGCCTTCTATCTTTCCGAGCATCAGGGTCTTTTCCAATGAGTCGGCTCTTCCCATCAGGTGGCCAAACTTTTGGAGCTTCAGCTTCAGCATCAGTCCTTCCAGTGAATATTCAGGGTTGATTTTCTTCAAGATTGACTGATTTGACTTCCTTGCAGTCCAAGGGACTCTCAGGAGTTTTCTCCAACACCACAGTTCAAAAGCATCAATTCTTTGGCACTCACCCGTTTTCATGGTCCAACTCTCACATCCATACGTGATTACTGGAAAAACCATAGCTTTGACTATACAGACCTTTGTCAGCAAAGTAATATCTCTGCTTTTTAATATGCTATCTAGCTTGCTCATAGGTTTTCTTCCAAGGAGCAAGCATCTTTTAATTTCATGACTGCAGTCACCATCTGCAGTGATTTTGGAGCCCAAGAAAATAATGTCTGTCACTGTTTCCATTATTTCCGTATCTTTTCACCATGAAGTGATGGAACTGGATGCCATTATCTTAGTTTTTTGAATGTTGAGGGTTTTTTTTTATTATTAGTTGGAGGCTAATTACTTTACAATATTGTAGTGGTTTTTGTCATACATTGACATGAATCAGCCATGGATATACATGTATTCCCCATCCCGATCCCCCCTCCCACCTCCCTCTCAATGTTGAGTTTTAAGCCAGTTTTTTACTCTCCTCTTTCACCTTCTTCCTCTTCACTTTCTGCCATAAAGGTGGTGTTACTGCTTATCTGTTATTGATTTTTCTTCCAGCGATCTTGATTCCAGCTTGTGCTTCATCCAGCCCAGAATTTCTCATGATGTACTCTGCATATAAGTTAAATAAGCAGGGTGACAATATACAGCCTTGACATACTCCTTTCTCAATTTTGAACCAGTCTGTTTACATGCCCGGTTCTATCTGTTGTTTCTTGACCTGCATACAGGTTTCTAAGGAGGTAGGTAAGCTAGTTTGTTGTTCCCATCTCTTGAAGAATTTTCCACAGTTTGTTGTGATCCTCACCATCAAAAGCTTTAGCATAGTCAATGAAGCAGAAGTAGATGTTTTTCTGGAATCCTCTTGCTTTTTCTTTGATCCAGTGGATATTGACAATTTGATCTCTGGTTCCCCTGCCTTTTCTAAATTCAGCTTGTACATCTGGAAGTTCTTGGTTCATGTACTAGTGAAGCCTAGCTTGGAGAATTTAGAGCATTACCTTGCTTGCATGTGAAATGAATGCAATTGTGAAGTAGTTTGAACAGTCTTTGGCATTACCCTTCTTTGGTATTGGAATGAAAGCTGACCTTTTGTTATATATAGTGATATGTTACATATACATACCACTATATATAACATACATAAGCAACAAGAATTTACTATATAGTAAAAAGGAGCTATATTCAATATCTTGTATTAACCTATAATGGAAAAAATCAGAATATATATATGGGCTTCCCTTGTAGCTCAGTCAGTAAAGAATCTGCCTGCAGTACAGGAGACCTGGGTTCGATCCCTGGGTTGGGAAGATCCCCTGGAGAAGAAAATGACAACCCACTCCAGTATCCTTGCCTGGAAAATCTCATGGACAGAGGAGACTGGTGGGCTGCAGTCCATGGGGTCGCAGAGTCGGGCACGATTGAGTGACTAATACTTATTTACTAAGTTATTTACTAAGTCTACTATTTATATATATTTACTATATATATATATTTACTATATATATTAAATATATATTCATATATTATATTTATATATCATTAATATATAAATATATATTTTTATATATTTACTAAATACTTTATATATAATATATACTGTATAGCAGTAAAGAATGTGCCTGCAATGCAGGGGACATGGGAGATTCAGGTTTGATCCCTGGGTTAGGAAGATCCCCTTGAGGAAGGCATGGCAACCAACTCCAGTATTCTTGCCTGGAGAATTCCATGGACAGAGGAGACTGGAGGGTTACAGTTCATGGGGTTGCAGAGAGTTGTATATGATTGAAGTGACTGAGCATGCACACACACACACAAACACACATATGTGTAAAACTGAATCGCTTGGCTATAGTTAATCAACTATACTTCAATAAAAATATTTTAGCAAACAATATCTAAAAGTAGAGAAACAAAAGACCAACAACTTGATAGAAAATGGAGTAAGAGATAAGAATAAACAGTTCAAATAAAAATGTAAATATCCCTTGAATATATAAAAAGATACTAACCTTCACTCGTAATAGAGAAAAACATATCAAAACATAGAAAAACTAAAATTAACTTAATATTGCAGTAGGATACTATTTCTCACCTACAGGTTTGAAAAAACCCAGAAATTAGCTGGCATAATCTATTGGTAAAAGATATAGGGGAGGGACTCCCTGGTGGCCCAGTGGTTAAGAATCTACCTTGCAATGCAGGGGATGTGGGTTCAATCCCTGGTCAGGGATCTAAGATACTACATGCCACGGAGCAACTAATCCCTCCACAACTGGAGAGTCCGTG